TAGCTTCTGTGCCTACACAGATGTACATCAACGATAATTCTTTCAATGTATTACGTACCTAATTTACGCAATAGTATTACGTAAAATTTTCCATTCTTTATCATCTGCGGCGACACTCGCTTCTAAAAACGGTTGTTAACGAAAAAAGAATCAGTGCAGTGAAATGATTGATCGTAATAATTTTCCATTAACTGCCGCCTACATTTTAATTCGATCATCCGGGATCTGTAACTTCCCCGATCCGATTCATCGGACTATTTCGAGAAGACTTCCAGGGTGGCACAATGTGCGTCACTGCGGCGTGACATCCATTGTTGACACGACACACATACATTGTCCGGCTATAATGGCGTCAGGTGCGAAGCACAAAGCCCTATTTTACGAGAGAGAGATTCGTATTTCGATGCGAGCCTCGTGAGAGAAATTGTCGATGCGAGAAACTTTTCTGATTCATTTGCTGCCCGGTCGTAATTACTCATGCGATCGACATGCGCGATGCCCTTTCCTTTCGCGATAAAGAATGACTAAAATTTAACAAGCAAAATAAATCAATATTTTTTCATTAGATGATGGCTGTATTTTATTAGATAAAATATCACAATTCAAATTAGGATATACGGTTTTACGACTAGCATTTGCCAAATGGTGCTTACGAGAAGGCATATATTAGGTAAAATAGATTTTATCCTATTAAAGTGTTACTTTATGCGTTACTTTTTACAATAGTCAACAATAATATCGTAATTATAAAGTTGTGGTAAAAGTATATATCTAAAAGTCTTTTGTAGTTAAAAGAAAATTTCTAACTGTAATACGTACAACTGCATGCTTATTTACACTTGTAAAAATAGATATAAGAACAGATATAATAGCAATTTATTTTACAGCTATATCATAATATGGTACGATTATAATTACATTTGTTTTAAAACAGCATGCTCTCATATGTCATTCTTAACAATTTTTGCTGTTCTGAAATAACGGTCAGCACTAATCGCTATTTCACATTAATTTCATTAATTTTCACGAATTTTTATTGTAAATTAATGTTAGATTTCTATTGTTAGTTGTTGCGATACCTACATGTTACTAATCTTGGATATTTTCTAAAATTATTCTTGGCATGATGAACGTATAGTCTTTGTCTGTATGTGAAATAATTGCTGATATAATCTCGTGATTTACATCGCTCTAATTTTCCTGCTGACAGCGTACACTTCCAATTCAATATTAATAGATCCGGCATTGTCGCATATATCTCGTTTTATTCCTCGCAATAACTAACGTTGTAACGATTCGTTCGTGCTGTACTTAGTACTATATTAAACGCGTAGGCGTTATATTCCCTGAAGATCATAATCGCGCTTTTCAAATGCAAAATTAATTGACATTACGAAAAGGATTTTTAAAAAATTTGAGCTCAAGCTCTTCTTCAACTTATTTCTTTATCATTTGACGTAATGACAATAATAATTAATTATTATATAATTAATTATTATTATTAGTTATTATAACTTATGTTAAATTATAATATTATATTATTAGTTATTTATTATAACTATATATTCTTCAAATGAAAAAAATATGTCATTATATTTATGATTAGATACGCTTGATAAGATGTCTTCATAATATTAAATAAATAAAAATGTTGCGTTTACAGTAAATAATAATATACAGTGAATTAATTAATTGATTAATGAAATCTTTGTTCATCAAAAGACTATAATCGCATATATGTTGCAAAATTGAATCCTGGCTACCCGGGCTTTTCGGTGGGCAGAACGTAGCCTAGTTGCAGTCAATATAGCTTAAAGAAGCTAAGTTTCAGCTCGCCTGCGCAACAAGTATCTGGGAGTCAAAATCGTTATAGCTCGCTCGCTGCGGCTTCTCGCCCCCGATTATCTATTCGTGGCGTTCTACCCTTTAATCCTGGAACCACAACCGTGAATGAATTTCGCGGCTTTGAAGAAACCTCTCGTACAATTTATTATGATTACGCAATCAATAACAAGCCCCTTGAGTCTCTCGATATTCCACGTAGTCGATTTATTACATGAATATTCGTCGGATATTTTACATATTCTCGTTTTAAAGACAAATAAATCCGACACACTTGTGATTGCAAGATTAATATAACCGCATCCAATCGTATCTTTTATTACTTTTCATCCATCCTTTCACGGTAAGATTAGGGCAGAAATCCTTTTTCGGAGCGACGAGTAAAATGGGAAAAGTTCCCGAACATTTTATCGCCACGAGCTTCCGTCGCTGTCTGTCTGCCACATTGGCGTTTTTTGCTCGAAAGTTTGTAAGCTCGGAACTTGCTCCCTTCAGCACTTAGCCGTCGGGGAAGTTCATTAATGTAATTAAGGAACCGCGTGGATGAAACGAACATAAGTGCAAGTCTGATCTAACTCCGTGTTTCAATAGAACGTAAATTATCTCGTAAATTGTGCTGAAAGGATTTCTCAATAAGTGATCATATATATATCTTCGTTATTTTTTGTATGCTTCAACTTCATTGCCACATCCTTGCGAGAGCAACCCTCACTTTAACAATATGAAATATGTATGAAATTGTTTTCGCAATCAACGCATTTCACATTTTCTTAAATAAAAATTAAATTGAAAGTAATTAGGCTCCCAAGAATAAATTAGAGATAACAAAGTAATGCTAATGCGAGCCGACACGAATGTTAGTGTGTATAATAATTTTCACAATAATTGTTACAAAAAGTGCGGCGCACAGTTTGTGTGTAGCTGGATATTGTAACAATAAAAATTATACACACATTAATATCAATATCGGCTCGTATTTTGTAGCTTAGCATTTTGTTATCTCAGCTATTTATTCTTAGGAGCCTAACTCCTTTCAATTTAAAATTTGAATTTTACGTTGCTTGGAAAGTGTGTCTTACACATTATTTATATATATGTATATTGATTATTGCGAGGGATATCATCACATGTCTTGATAATCGAATGGTAGAATGTCCACACGGCAAATAGGGAGATTCAGGTTCGAATCCTGGCTAAGGTGATATTTTTCGCAATAAATTCTTTACAGATTTGGAGAGAAGGGTATTCTTATAAATGCTTATTGGTATCAAAAATATTAAATTACTTATCAATTCAATTCGTTACAGTGGATTCCGACTTCATGTAAAGAAATGTGTTCTTGAGATCGACAAAAAGTGCGACGCACAGTTTGTGTGTCTGGATTTTGTAACAATAAAAATTATTATACACACTAACATCCGTGTCAACTCAACAATTGGCATTATTTTGTTATCTTTGATTTCTTAAATAAGTTTTACCTAATAACTTTATCTACGTGTGCATGTGCATGCAAACATGCACATCACATAATTTAATATTTAATTATAGTATTGTAAAATATAGCCAATAAAATATACTTAATCCACATTGTTTATATAAATATTGTTAACATCAATCAAATGGAATGTCTGAGGAACCTTGTCTAAAACGCAAAAATATAACGGAGCGGATAATCTTGGATGACTAGTTCTTTTCCGACGTTTTCGACGGCGCAATTTACTTAGGTCAACAAGGAGCTATTACTTTCCGTACGCGGCGGTTCCATGAGCTCATTGGCTTTCGCGACAGTACCTTTCGCAATTTCTCCTCTGGTCGGCCAGAATACGTGGGCGAAAAAATATTAAGTTCACCACTCTACGTAGCCGCGTGAGGCTAGCCTTTGACATTTTATATGATGCAGTGCTTACCCAGACCTCGAGGAACTCGCGTAATGGGCGTTGCGTTTATTTCCGGAACGTTTACGTCGAGCGCTGCAATATTTTGTTCGCAGATCCGCCGATTTTTCAATGGGCATTGGATAAAATGTGTTTCACGGAAAAATCATCTCTCTCGTTATACACGTTTTCTAAAACATATAGGACAATGGAAGGAGAACATAAAAATTCCTCGACTCTCGAACAAAACCGAAGATTCTGTCGGGACGACGATATAAAATATTTTCAAGCATTTTCGAAAAGTTAGATCTTTCTTCTCCCGTTTCATTCATTGCAGAGCTGCGTAGTCTCATTATTATCAAAGAAATCCAATCGTTTTCGTTCATCTCTTTGTGACCTAATTACATTAAATTGAGAAATTAGCTAGCTTAAACTTCTTTTTTACATATTTGTTTTCTCAAAAAATTTATATATAAAACAAAAAATATATCTATCAATTCGGCTGTAAAGATCCAAATAATTTAAATAATTGTTGCACATACACATGCAATTCGTCTAATTACTTTAATATCTCAATGCCACACATGGCGTTCCTAATTCCTAATTGTCTCCCAGAAATAACGAGCGGGTTTAATAAACAACTGTCAAATTTTTGACATTTCGACATCGCAAAAATCGAGGGCTCCTTAATCGACAACTACGTCACTGACAAGAGAGGGGTGCAGTTTCCCGGACGTACATTCGTCCGTAGAATGGTTTTCAGGGGAAATTCAGCAGCAGGGAGGCGCAAGGGAGGGGGTGATGTACCGAGAGAAATCCTGCGAAGGTGGAGTCCCAGAATCTTCCAAAAAAGAAACGGTAGAATTGCAATAAGCGTAAAAGAGAACGAACGAAAGAGCAAGATAGAGACAAGATGAGTTCGGGGGAAAGGATGATGTAGAGAAAGGAATAAGAGGAGGAGGAGGAAGAGAAGGAAGAGGAGGAGGGAGGAGGAGGAGGAGGAGGAGGAGGAGGAGGAGGAGGAGGAAGAGGCGAAGGAAGTGGTGGTAGTACTGGAGATGTAGGAAAAGGAGGAGAAGGGAGAGGAGGGAGGAGGAAGAAGGAGAGAGAGGAAAGGGGCTAAATGAGAGCATGAACGGGGCGAGAGAGACAGCGAAGCCCCATGAGTATCCTCGTTTCGCGAAAGGAACAGGGACCCCGGCGGCGTGGTGGCAGGACCGACGATGAGGGTAGCGGAGAGAGAAGGTGTCGCGGGGGTGGGTTTCGTACGGCCAAGGCAGTGGAGCCGCGGACAGTCGCCTCGACGCTACCATCTCTCTCAGTTGCTCCACGGTTTCCGGACTCGACGGACGCAGACAGGCACAGGTTAGTGAATCCAATTCTCGTTCATTCACCAGCCAGCGCGTCGTCCCTCCGTCGCGCCCGTCTCTTCCAATTTGTATTTTCACATACCCTCTCTCTCTCTCTCTTTCTCTTGCTCTCTCATTCTTCAATTCGCACACTAGCGTTTACACCCACGTTTCACGTGTCGTTTCACCGGTGATCGCGACATTTTCCCCGAAATTTTAGGGATAGTAGAAAACATACGGGACATAGCGTGTTACGAAATTAGTTTTAGAGAAGATATTGTGGACGAATCACGAGGGAAGAACTGGAGGGCGAGGCATCAGCGAGACCTCCGAATGTCATAACTGACGTGCGTTTCGCTCTGCGCTCTTCTCGCCGATTGATGAAAATTAGGTGTACGCGCTCTCAGTGACGCACAACCTGTTATACCACTATTGCAGAAGAGGCAATGCCGACATACGGGGAAGGGCGTCGGGATTCTGAACTAACGAAGAGGAATGTAATTGTGTCTAATGAGACTGTTGAAATTAGAGCAAGAGAGAATTAGAACGAAGGCGTATTCTGTGGAATGCGTAATGTTATACGAAGGAATAAATGACAAATGATATATGCTTTTTCGTGTTTGTCAAACTGATAGCAAGTGATTTTTAAGGACATTAAATCCTCCTAACGTATTACGTAAATGATTTGAATGAGTTCTGACAATTATATTTTGCGATTATTTCTGTGAAAATAATAATCTCATAAAAAAATATAATTTATAATAAAAAATATGCTTTTGAAAGATTATTGTAATTTCTTAAAGCGTTGATAATTGATTATTATAAATTAATTATATTTAAAATACATTTTAAAGTAATACAGTGAAAATTTACGAACAATTTAAAACGAAGAAATATAGCAGTTTCGTAGTTCACAAATTCTATGAGAAGCAGAGATGTTAATTAAATCAGAAGACAGTCTTGGGTGTCCTTATCTTGTAAAATTTACAAATAATAACTTGGAAGCATCGAAAGATTTTATCACAAATACATAGTACGTTTGACAAGCCGTCCTAGATTTACTAAGGTTCAAGATTCGTTTTCCCACTCAAATAATAGCAAGCGTAACCTTGAACGAGAATAGAACATTTTATGATTAACACCGCGGGAGTTCTACTACGTTCATAGGTATATGAATGGTCATAAAACCCTTATTACCCCATTCGGGTCGATCAAAAGTAGGTCAGTTCCAAAATTGGAAGCCGTCGATCGACGAAAAATGTCGGCGCGATTTTTAACGTGTGGCATCCCACGCACCAGTGACGAAATTCCGGTAGATTTTTTTCACAGTTTTCTCGCACCGTATCGCCGCTTTCGCACCAAAAAAAATACTATATCCCACGAATCAACTCGCTCTTATATCCATCCTGCTGGAAAAGTAGTCGCGAGTGCGCGAATCACGTTGGATCCGATTAGGCTTCATCACGCACGACACATCGATGGGTTTTGCATCCTAATTACGCGCTTCGCTGTCATTAATCACGGCTTAACTTTGCTAAACTGCGTTGATATGGCGCCGATGTAATGAATAAACACTAGGTAAATGCGATAATACCCTCGCGTGGCACGTTAGTCTAATGTGACTGACAACATTTGCGAAATGTCAGCAGCGCACTAGTGACGCATTTCACGTAATTAGACTCTCGCAAGCTATCTATCTGTTTGCTAACAGATTGCGATTAATTGTACAAATATCTGTAGCAGAAATTTATTTAGCAGGAACTACAATAATATATATATATATATATATATATACATTACACTGCTTTTGCGGTTATTATTAGCGATTTTACGACTACAATTTTTTAATATTTTACATTGCTAATAAGATTTATATTATTTTATTGCACGTCTTCAGTGCTGATACGCACGTGAGAAAAAACTGTTAAAGATTAAACTATTTATAGTATATGTAAAAAATAAAATAAAATATCACGCATCAAACAAAAGGAAAAGTAAAATTAAAAGTATCTACAAAATGCAAATTAAACTGTTACAATAAAAAAATAACCAATTTGTATCGTGCAATGCTGCATATTTGTAAGCAACAAATAATCCAGGTTGGCTATACCTGTCGGATTCGAATCTCACTTGTTGCAACCTTTCCATTTCAACGCACTAGCGTAAAAAGGGCTTTCGAGAAAGATCGTGCCATTTTTCGTCCTCTTTCCGCCTAGCAAATCGGCTTAGTGCTTTTCGTTATTTCCCTGTCGAGGCTCGAATGATTTATGAGCCTCGTCAGAAACGTAATACCTACGGAATCATGATCGAACATGATATGACGCATTTCACAGATAGAAGAGATATCGTTGCAATGATTTGCGCAACAGAGATCTCTCGATTCTTAAATAATTGAACCATTCGCACGATTTTCATTATCATAACGTCTTATCAATAATAATAATCATCGAATAGTTTTTGTTTGAACCAGTTTCCGCTAAAGTGACCTTATATCTTAAATGAATATTACCAAAAAATTGTCAGTGCAGAGTTGGGTACTACCCAGAGAGTAAAAGAGAATAAGTTGTTTTATCTATAACCAGTAACATTTATAATTTGTATTATCATTAAGTAATAAAATACAAAAAATGTTACATTATTAATTTCTTACAATCTAAAGTAAAAGTAAAAATTAAAAGTTATACAATAACGATAACAAACACATATTATAGTAGATTATATAAATACAGAAAACATATATAAAAATTACAAATAAATTAATTAATAAAAAATTTTATTTCACAAGAGAAAATTGTTCTAACTAATCGAACGTTCTATATATCGACGATATATTCGTTTAAAAGTCTATTTTAACAAACAGTATATTATACTAAAAAAAAAAACAGAAAAAACCGATAGTTTTTTCATTGTAAATTTAAAAAATGATAAAACAAATAATCAAGTACATATGTGTAATAATTTAACATTAAAGTTCATTTAAAATTATTTTTAAAATATAATTTTTAATTAAAGAAAATTTATATTTTATTTGCAATAAATATTTTTTCAATATAAAACAATTAAATTATCTATAATATCTAATTATTTGCAATAAAAAATGCTTAAAGTTTATTTAAAACCTGTTGCATTTAAATAATTTGGCAAACAGAAGGTATCATTTTTAAAATCTATTAAAATAAACAATTTTTACCATATTTTACTTTTATTTATCTGGTTCTTGCAAATTTATTACGCAATAAAACACGCAAGCGCACACACACACACACACACACATATGTTGGTTATATATTTTGTATTTGTATTCATTGCGTATATTAATTTAGTGCGCTGTTATCGATTTTGCCTTTCCTAAACGAAAATACGAAACGAATAAAATCCGATGCGCAAAAATGTAAAAAAAGGAACAAAATCGAGAAAAATGGTGTTGGTGCGCCAGGACGCGTAGGAGATTTACGATCGAATCGTATATTCGCGGCATTTACCGTTATCTCTTTTATATTGACGCGTTGTTTAGCACATTTATCATCCAGGACCGTCACGTCGGGCCGTAGAAGTCCTTTTATTACGTGCGATGGCATACTGATACGGTAGAAAGCCGCGCCAAGATAAAAATCAGATATCATAAAGTGTTAGACCCTTTTGCTTTATGACGCAGATCCGTTTTAAACTCTCTTCAAATTTTGAATTTTCGATTAATCGAGTGAAATTTATCCCAAGTTTATCGCTACTTCCGATTATACAAAAAAAAAGCAAGAATTAATATTTCAATATTAATCAATCATAAGTTTTAAATTGCTAAATACTATAGAAAAATACAAGCGTGGTTATATTACAATATACAAGAATTAGAATTATTTGGCATTAATGTATAAAACTTGATTTTTTGGTATACAAACGTAATTATATTACAACATACAAGAATTAGAATTATTTAAGGCTTTAAGGTATTAATGTATAAGACGATTTTTTGGAAAAATTGTAAAAATATAAAAATTGTGGCTAAATCTTTTATCAATTAAAAAATGATGTTCTTAACCTTTTAAGGACTAACGATTCGATTTGGGATCATCTCCTTTTATTTTGCAATCTGCTCGCTCAATTTTCATGAAACTTATACTTTAAAGTAATTTTATAATGTTTTATTGGAATCTGAGATCAGAAATAAAAAATTTTAAATGGCGGATTAAATTTTAAACAAGTAATCGGATTGTGTTATTTAATTTTAGGAAATCTTTGTGGTCACAGAATTAGATTCTGTCCTCAAAATTCAAAAATTGAAAGTTGTGAATCCAATATGGCAAAACCAAATCTTAAAAAATAATTATCTGATGATGAATATAGTAATCTGATTATCATAAAACTCCGTTTTTATTGCAAAGTAACATCAAGTTTCCAATTTGGCTTTATTTAAAGCTTATTACTATACAAACAATTAGTAATTGACTATTATAGCAACAGAATGAAACAAAACACATTTATAAACTGTTATATCCTAACAATAAGTTAATTACTAAGTTATATGCTAAGTTATACATATATTAAAAAAATATATATATGTATATAACGTTGAATTTTTGAATTTTAATTGAGAGCCAGAATCGTATTCAGCAACAAAAGTTCTTAGAAAGTAAAATTTTTATAAATTACTTTGTTAGAACACGCCGATTTTCAAAAGATTAATTAAATGTGTAAAGTTTAAAGAATTTTCTCAACCCTCTTGTGATTCATCAAATAGTAAATATACATAAATTAAAGGTGAAATTTTTAAAAAATATTTTATTAATAACGATATTCTAATGAAAATATCATAGCTAAATACATAAAATTTATTACAAAAATTTAATGTACATTTAAAATATAAATGCTGATTGTAATATGCTATCCTTTATTAAGTATTCCACTTTTTTAAACACACTGTACAATGTATTGTAATGCTTTGCTAAAGAAATTAAAAGAGATAACTTTACTGTTTCTCTGTAAAACAATCGATCATATATAAGAAATAATCATAAATCT